ACCCCAACCCCAACCCCAACCCCAACCCCAACCCCAACCCCAACCCCAACCCCAACCCCAACCCCAACCCCAACCCCAACCCCAACCCCCAACCCCAAACACTAACCCCTTCCCGAAACAGAACCGCAACTCAACCTACATTAAAAATAAAAATAAAATTTTTTATTATAAATAATTTATTTTATTAATATATTTTAAAATAAAAATTACTAAAATTATATAATTTTTATAATTATATATAAAATAAAACTGTATTAAAATATTATTTTTTTTTAATATTTTAAAAACTTTTTTAAAAAAATATTATTATTAATAATATATTAAAAAAAAATAAAAAATTTATTTATAAAAAAATAATATATATATAAGAATATAAAATTAAATTTTCTTGATAATTTTAATTTATTCATAATATGTATTATTTTTTAAAAAAGTAAAACATATATAAATTATAATTTACATAAAATAAAATAATTATAATAATTTTTTTTATCAAATATTTTTAATTATATAAACTAATTGCATAAATAAGGGATTATAAACGATTACAATAAAATATGTTTATAAAATATTAAATTCATTTATTATTATTTTTTTATATTAAATAATTATATTATATTAATTTTTAAATGTAATTAATTTAAATATAAATATAGCATATTTAAAGAATTCAATATGAGAACTATCAGAATATATATTCAAAAATATCCTTTCCTGAATTAAAAAAAATATATTTTTTAAAAATTTCTGTATATAAAATAAAATAGTATTTCGCTATATCGAAGAAAATAGCCTTTTGTATACATTTTTGACAAAAACCACATCAGAAGCTATAATATTTACAAGATAATCAAATTTTCTCGGTTTTAACAAAAAACTTGTACTTTTGATTTTAAATTAAAAATTTTTTCGTAGTACCAACCAAGACCCTCTCCCCGCCACTAAAATATATTTCTAAATAATTAACTATTTAATGAATAAATAATATTCTTCGTTTTTATAATTAGAAAAATCAATTAACATAATTAATTTTTATATATTATTTTTTTTTAAAATTTATAAATTATGTTTCATTATTATTTAATTTATATCAAATTTTGATTTATTATATGATTTATTCTTTTTTTAAATTACAAAAAATGCAAGTAATCTAATCTTTTAATAATAAATTCAATTTATTTAATTATTTCATATTTTATTAAAATTTATAGATTATTTGATTTTATTTATTTTTAAAATTCCTAAAATGCCAATTACTAGACTATTAATTTTTTTTATAAATTTTAATTATAATGTAATTATTTTAGTTTTTTAAAATTCCCAAAATATCAAACATTAGTTTTTAATTATAATTATTTATATTTTAATAATTTTTAAAGATAATTTTAGATTTTTTCATTTTTATTAATTCTAAAAACATAAAATAAAATTAAAAAAATATTTTAATTTATAAATAATATTTTAAAATTATACTATATTATAAATTATATAATTATTAAATTTTCAAAATTATCATTTTCTTAGACATTAAAGTTTTTAAAATTGAAATTTAATTTTTGATTTTTGAGAAATTGCTACTTATAATTGTATATTTTAATTAATTTTCATATTTAAATTTTTTAAAACTAATATAAAAAACAAAGAAAAAATGCTATTTAAGTTTTAATATCAAAATTTAAAATCTTTAAATATTATATTATATTATTTCTATTTAATTAATTTTTATTTTTAAATGTAAATATATTAGTTTGAAATTTAGGTTTAAGGTTGAGCTTTGGGTTGGTGTTTTTGTATTTTAGTGTAGTGGTTTGGGATATCTGTAGGTATATGTAAAAAAAACTATCTATATTCAGTCGCCTAGAGATGATAAATTGCTATATTTCAATATTTGTTTTTCTAATATTATATTTTTATATAGATAAATAAAATATTAATTTATTTCAAATTTCACTAATAAAAAATTTTAAAGTAAAAAAAAAGTTATTATTGCAATTTGAATAGGAAAATCGGGGCTAATTACAACACCATCACCTACCCGAATATAGTTAATTTTTGGAGAAAAAATAATTTTATTGCCACATCAGTTTTAGCCAGAGATTTATCAGAATATATATTAACGTTTGTTAAGGAATATTTTGCTTTTTAGAAGGCAAATAATGTATTAAAAATAAATTGTAATTAAACTGAAAAATTCTTTTTCAGAAACGTAGTAAAATTAAGTATAAAAACAAATAAAAAATAAAAAAATATTAAAAAAATATAAATAAATTAAAATTATTTATTTTTAAATAATTTTCATAGTAATTATTTTATATCAAAAAATTAAATTAATTATTTTTAATTAATATTAAATATATAAAAATTTGATAATTTTTACACATATATAAATATATATATATATATATATATATATATTTGTATAAAAATAATAATATTATGTTTTTCATAAAATATTTAAAATAACTATATTTTTATTATAAAAAGAAAATATTTAAATATTATTTTTTATTAACAACCGAAATTATAATAATTTCAACAAAATATATACTTTTTAAAAAAATATAAAATAAAAATGATTATGTTTTCTCAAACATAAAAATATAAAAAAAACATTTTTATTTTTTTAAATTAATAAAATTATTTGATATTTTTACTTTTAATATATTTCATTTTAATTTAAATAAAATATAATTTAAATAAAAAAATTATAAGTATATATATTAATAAAGTATTTTTATAAATTTAAATGGATAATATATATTTTCGTAATTATTTCTATAATTAGAATAAGGTATTATAATTAAAAAAATTATAAAATAAAAATCCCTTTAAAATAATATAAATTTTAATATTTATTTCTGATTAATAATTAAAAAAATATAATTAAATTGAATATATATAGCAAATAATAACATATAATTTAATTATTAAAAAAAATTAAACGTATGAATTGTAAATTTTGTCATAAATAAGTTTAAAAAGAAAAAATATCTATTCACGAATAAGTTTGTAACTCTTTTGTTAATAGCATTTATGAATAAAGCAGATATATTAATTATAACTATGAATACGACTGTGCAATTTGTTCTTTAGTTGTAAATAATCCTTAATAATGCTAAGGTTGTAGAAATTATTTTTGTAGACTATGTATATAAAACTGGTTTTAATAGCCTAAATACTCATAGTAAAAAAATGAATATAATATTATTTAAAAAAAAACTTATATAATTAAGATAATGTCCTTATAAGTGTGATACTAAATATTAAATAATAGATGCTAGTTTAAACTTAAACTATTAAAAATTATAAATAATTTGTATATACTGTTATGAAATTCATACTTTAGATGAGATTGAACAACACGAAAGTATTTGCAAATACCCAAAATGTAAAAACTATGATATTTGTAAAAATATAATCAATAACTAAACTAACCCATATTTAGGAAAATTAAAGATTTGTAAATAAGATTGTCTACTTTTAGATTAAATCATTAATATTTTAAATAGCTAAAACAGTTTTCTTGAATTTATCGGAAAGTTTATTGATAGTTTTTATCCTGATTTGAAAAAAATATAAAATGATAATTCTAATATAATATGTAAAAAAATATACTTATAATTTATTTAAAAAAATAAAATAAGAACTATAATGGGATAGTGAAGTTATATCTAAAAGTATAAAAATTATAAAAAATAATGAAATATTTTTAGATAGTAAAGAAGATGTATTTAAAACTGCTATTACCAAATAGGTAATTTTTTTTTTATTAAAATAAAATAAAATAGAGTTTTAATACAGGAAAACATTATTGGGAAATAATACCCAATTCAAAAACATAAAAAGAATTTAAAGTTGGAGTCTGTTTATCAAATTAATTTAACATTGAAACAGCTTTTTGTGATTTTAAAATAGGTTATGGGTATTATACTATAGGTTAATTAAGGTTTGGTAGTAATTAAAGTGGAAAATAGTACGGAAAAAAAATAAAAAATGAAGGTGTTTTGGGAGTTTTTCTTAATATAGATAAAGGATAATTAAGCTTTTCTTTAAATGGAGAATATTTAGGAATAGCTTATGAATGTGAAAATCTTAAAAAAGGGCCAATATATCCTGCTATTTCCCTTTGTAGTATTTCAGGATGTAAAATATAATATTTAAATATTATTCCAAGTATATTTTTATGATTACTACTACAATATATATAATTTTTTTATAAATGTATTCAACTTAAAAATTTTTCCTTAGCAATTATAATTTTTTTTTTATAATTCTTATTTTAAATAAGCATATAAAAAAAATTGTTGTATTTAAATAAAAAAAATATATATTTTTATAACTTAATTTTATATAATAATTTTCCTTTATCAATAAAAAAAATATCAGTTTATTATTTATATTTGATATATAAAAAAATTAAAAAAACTCAATAATTTTGCTATTATACAGCAAGTTTAATTAAATGGTCCATAAACAAAGTTAAAGATGCATCATCAGTTTATGTATGTCCGCCTTCAATAACATCCTAATTAAGTCCAGTAGGATTTATTCTAGCTTTTAAATACCTCTCTTTAGTATGATTTGGATATGTCTCGAAAAATATAGGTGTTGGGAATCTATCTTCAAGTATCATTTTTACATCTTCCATAGGTGACTCAAGCATTGTTTTAAATTAAGCATATTATTCATCTAACTATATATATTTAATATTATAATTAAAAAAATATATAAATAATATAATAAAAATATATACATATAAATATATAAAAATAAAGATTACATGATATTATTTATCTTTCCAAAGTTTAATTTAAGGCCCTAACCAAGTAATAACTTAAAAGTAAGTATCTAATAATAAAATAACATTATTTTTCATAGAAGTATCTTCCAAAGTAGTTGCTACAGGAGTTGGATTTTCATAAGTATACATTAGTAAAGCTGGTTAAATCATAACCAAACAATTAGTAACATTTTCCCTATTAAAAGTACCCCTATAATAGGAAATAATATCTGGAGAAGTACCAAAGGTTTAAGTAAAGTGACTTCTTCTTAAATGATACATTAATTAAGGATAAAGAGAAAAATTATCATTTAATCTAAATGTATCAGGTTAATTAGGCTTATATTCGGCGAATTTAGTCACTAATCTAATTAAAGATCTGTCGAGCCATTTCAAAATTTCTATAGGCTCTTCTTATTCGGCCTTTTAAATTGCAAGCCTAGCCATCATCACACATGCTGCTTCTTAATCAAAACCTTAAGTCCAATCATAAGAATTTATTTAATCTCCGAATTTTCTATGTACAGTTGTTACACGTAATTTAGTCTCTCCAGAAGGTGATTTATATATAGTCTAAAATTAAAAAAATGCGCGTTTAGCACTATTTTATTCTTTATTTTAAGGAGCTAAATCTAACAAAAATGTAATTGTACTATTTCTATCCATACCACCTACATACCTAATAATACATAATAATATATATATTTTAAAAAAATAAATACCATTAATTAGTTCCTCCTTATCCAATAGGAACCTCACTAACCATCGGCCCTCCTTTTTTCATTGAACTACATGGTCCTATACCTCCTTAAATTTTTAATTCTTTACATACAAACATTTCTATTTTAGCCGCTGAAGCAAATCTGAGTTCTTCTTATTAATTTTTTTCGAATATTTTCCTAAAAGTTTCCCTAAAAGGTTCAGAATTGAATTCTTCATTTACAATAGTATAACCTCCAGTTTTTTCTGATATCGACTTCATTTCCAATAAACCGAATTAATCAGCTGAAAAACCATAAATGTCTATAGTAGCGAGAATTTTTATGGCCCTCTAAGCTATTCCTTAATAATATTTTGTTGTTTTTTTCACATGTTTGGCCATTTCAGTTTCCTTATTTAAATCATAATATGATCTTAAATTTTCTTCCAATTTTAATCCAATAATTTACCCAGGACCTATTGTACAAGGTCCTCCTGTAAAAAACATTAATCTACTTCCTTATATAGGACAAGCTTCTATAATACTCATCTATTTTTTATTTTTTTATTTTTTTATTTTAATTTAAAATATATTACAGCCACATTTAAAGCCACTCCAGATGCTCTTTATTCTCTTTCGCCTTAAGGTACAATCCACGGGTCAGGCTATAAATCATCTAAAATACTATTCAATGTAAATTCGCATTCATTTAATGGCAAAAGGAATCTTTTTATAACATCTAAATTCATTCCTTATTTAGGTTATTGTCCTTATGCTATTAATCCTAACATTTCTTAGACTTAAATAGGATTGTATTCTTTTGAACCTTTAAATGCGTAAGATTTCGGGCATTCAGAAAATCCTAATTCATGTACAAAAACAAACTTTCCATAAGTAATTAAACCTACATACGAATCTGGAGGGATTATATTTAATGATTATTATATGGAATCCCTTAATGCATCTAATTCAACTTCTTCTAATGCCAAATCAACTACTAATAAGAAAATATTTGGTTATATTTATGATTTTTGATTGACCTGTATATATTTTGATTTTTTAAATTTTTTTTTTTTTACATATTCTATAGTAGAAAATTCACTCATTAATTCCGCGGGTAAATTGTTTTCACTTATTTAATGATAATGTACAGGAAAAGGATTCCTGGATAAACAAAATGGACAAATCCAATATTTTTATACATAATCAACTTGGCAATAAGGGTTCAAAATTGCTTAACATTTGCACTTCAATGGCTCATATTCCATTCGGTTAGACTCGTCAATTTCTTTATAAGGAGTATAATGAACACTTAATGGAAGGACAGCACGGGTTAAGGCTAACTTGGTGGGGGGGATGGTATTCCAGGTAAATCTGATTCCATCTTTTAATTCCTCTGTGTAAAAATCTATATCCATTTCTTTATTTTTATTTTTTTTGGTATCTTTGATTTGATTATGATTTTTATTTTTCTATTTTTTTTTTTTGTTAATATATTTTATTATTTATTAATTTTTTGGATAATTTATATAATGAATGCACACGTTTTTATTTTATATAACTTTTTTTTAAAAAAAATTACTTTTATATAAATGCATTCTTTTTTAGTTATGCAAAAATAATTTAATTTTAAATTATTATTAAAATTAGTTTGAATATTACAGTATTTTTAATATATTAAAATAAATATATAAATTGGATTTTTCTGATATTAATAAATATATAAAATAATATTGTTTATTTGATTTTAATATTTTCTTTAGTAAAATATATAAATAATTAATTGATTAATATTTTTTATCTAAAAGTATATATTAACAAAAATGAAAATTTTAAATTATACATTATAATTAACTATTCTCATAATATAAATATAAAATACATAATCTTTATTTAGAATAAAAAATAAGGAAAGCTTATTAAATAGCTATATAGCTGATGATTTTTCTTTGAATGATTGTTTATTTTATATAATTCCATAATAAATAAGCTGCGAAAGTTTAATTTTTTATAAAAGTTTAAAAAATAGGATTGATTTTTGGTTAACTACGTTCAAAAACACTAACCCTTAATAAATTTTTAATTCAGCTATTTAAAGTCTAGATGAAAATGAATAAGAAAGTTTTTAATTTAGCAAATGTAAATAATAATATAAATTAACTTTTTTATATGTAAAATAGATTTTTATAGTTTTTCTTAAAAACTGCAAGATTAATTTGAAAAAAATGATGCAATATATATTTTAAAAGCAAGTTTTTAAGAATTATTAGATTAAAAAGAAAATTATAATTAATATAAAATTATACTTGAAGAATAATATGAAAAAATTAAAAAGTCAATTGAATAGGAATGTTAAAATTGATATTTTTTATTATATATTATATATTTTTTTAATAAAAAATATATCATATATATATAGTATATTTATAACAAATTTAATATATTTTATAAATATATAATTTATAATTTTTTACAATTTTTTATAAATAATAAAATAAATATGTAAGATATTTTAACAATTTTTGTATAAATAATAAAATAAATATGATTAAAAAAATAAATAAAAATATGCATTTTATAAAAAGTAAAAATATAAATGTATAAAAAAACATGGTAATACTTCATGGACTATGTGGAAATCCGACCAATTTTTCTTCTATTTGTAAAAACACCAAAATAAATTAACTTTGTAATTCTTATTTATTAAACTGGCACTCTATACAATTTGATATTTAAAAATAAACACAATTTCTTAATAATTTTATTGAATAAATTTATTTAGAACATAATCAAAATAAAATAATTTTACTTGGACATTCTTTCGGGGCTAAAATAATTATGGCTACATTATCTTAATTTAAAGAAAATTTAAAAAATAAAGTACATGGGACTATTATTGTAGACATATTACCTAGTTTTGTTCCTAATTCTAATCAAATGAAAGAAACTTTAAATAAAGTAAATTAAGTTTAACTTAAAAATAAAAGTAAATAAGAAATAGTTGAATAATTTTAAAACCTAGTCGGAGTAAAATAATTAATAAACTTGTTTCTGTCTAATATTAATTTTGAGTAAAATTCTTGGGATATAGATATATAAGATATTTATTAAAATTATGAAAAAATTGTATTTTTTTTATTTTAAATTAAAAATTATTTATATGTATTTTTTAAGGTAAATTATGAAATAAAAGGCAATTGGTAAGGAAAAGTTAGAATTTTAGCTGGAGATTAATCATAATATATTCCAAATAATAAATTAAATTAGTTTTAAGATATTTTTCCTAATATTAATTTACATAATGATATAAGGTATATTAGAAATTGTGGACATTGGATTTAAGTTGACCAGCCGATTCAATTTATTAATGAAATTAATAGCTTTTTAAGTGAATTACAATGATTATTTAAAAAAAAAAAAAAATTATGTCAATAGTTTTATATTTTCAAATAAAAAATCTAAGAAATAATAAGTTTATTATAATTCTAATATATAAATAAGATAAATCTTAAAATTAATTTTTTTTTTAAAAAAAAATATTTAAATATATATAAATCATTTTTTAAAATAGTTATATTATAAAAAACATAATTTAAAAAAATAAATAACAGGAAAAATGGATTCATTAATATAAAGATGGAATACTAGAAAAAATAGTGGATTAAAAATTAGTTAAAATATATAAAATTCATTCTAATAATAATAATTAGAAGATGAAGATGAAAACCAAAAAAAAATTATTAAACTTGACTAAAAAAAGCAAATTTATGTTAAAACAAAAAAATTTTCATCTTCTTCATCTTCTTAAGAAAATAAAAACGAATATAAATCATCAGATTCTTTAGAATACATAAAATCAAGTAAATGTAATAAAGAAAAAACAATAAAACCATCTTAATTATACAAAGCAAATTAATAATCTCCTTTAAACAATATAACATAAGAAGACAATAATAAAATAAATAATTTAAAAAATTCTTACGCAAATATAAAAAATAATTCAGCAAAAAAGTTTAATTCTTCAGCATCCAAATATACAAATTAAAATAAAAATCTTACATTTTACATAGACGAAAGCGTTTTTAAAATAATGGACATATTCAAATCTAATACAAATGAATAATTATCTTTTTAACAAAAAGTAGGAAAAGTACGCGAAATTGTAGACTATTTACTAGATTCTTAAAAATAAGTTCTTTTGAATACTGAAAGATCTAAAAGCAGAGAAAATAATTTTAAACAAGAAAGACAATAAATTTAATTAAAATAAAGTAATTTATTAATTTAAAAAAATGACTAAAGTAATAAAATAATATTGGATTTGGAAAACAAACTTATCGAATCTGAAAAACAAAAGAATTTGTTAAAAAATTAATGCGAAAATTTTGAATAGAAAAATATGGTTTTGGAAAAGCAAATCGAAAATATGAAATTTTCAAGTTAAATGTTCGAAATGGTCAAAGAATCTTAATTTCTACTTGAAAAAAACAACTAAACTTTGCATGAATAATTAAAAAAAGAAGAAAACAGGAATTTAGATTAGTAGAAAATATTTTAATAATAATTATAAGAAGTATATTCAATAGTTGAATTTTTAAAAAAGCAATTAAAATATTCCATAATTAAGAATAATGAATAATCGTATAATATAATATTAATTTATATATTTGTTTATTCTATAGTTAATTTTATTTTCTAAAAACTATTATTTTTAAAGTTCTTACAAATATATGTTATTTAATATAAATAGTAATTATAAATTTAAAATTAAAAAAAATATGAATAAAGATATATATGATTTTTTAAATCTAAACATTTAAAACTAAAATCTAATTCCGTAATTAAAATTAGAATGTTTATTCCATAAAGGCTTTCAAGCAAAAAAAGCATGCTCATCTTTAAGTTGTAGCCTAAAAAATAATCCATTTCTATGCGATTTATGCTTTTCTGAAAATTATAATTAAGCTCATCAAGAGCATATACTAGAAATTTAAAAATTAGAAAAATCAATAAATGAACTATCACAAAAACTTGAACTCCAATAAAAGCCAATAAAAAATATTTTCAATAATTTAATCCAAACGTAAAAAAATAAAGATTTATTTAAATACATAAAAGATTCCGAACAACACATTTTGAACATTCAAAAACATATAAATGTTCAAAAGGAATAAATTTAATTTGACATCGAACAAATAGCAAATACTATAATAGAATTCCTTAAAGTCTAAAAGGAAAATTCATTTAAAAAATTGGATGATTTTTTTAATAATTATTAAAAAATAATTCGAACAATTTAAAGAATTTAATTAAACTTTATTTAAAATAATTTAACCTAAAATTAAATTTCTTAATAATCCAAATATTTTGAATGCAAAAATAAACAGTATGCACTCTTCAGAACACAAAGATTTTATAAATGAAATAAAGCAAGGTATTCTACATTCAGATAATATATTAAAATAGAATCCTTAAATAAATGAACTTGTTGAAAATGTATTTAATAATATGAACGATTTAATTGATAAATTACCTATTTATTCGGACATAAGTCATTTAACAAAATAAAACGACTAAAATATATTATTTGATATAATTAAAACTTAATTATCAAAATTTTTCGAATAAAACTTTAAGTTATAAAACTATACTATTTTTGATTATAAATTAAATGGAATTAATAATTATATTAAGTAATATGAGAATTTAGATAATTATATAAAAAATAAGATTATCAAAAAAAGTAATACAACTATATTAAGTAATAGTAACAATAATAATAAATTTATTTCTATGTAAGATGATACGTTAAATATGTCAAATATTAGCTACAAAAAGCCTATATTTGAAAAAATCTAAAGCTAATAATTATCAGCATAAAACCATTTTTCAATTACTTAAAATATAAAAATTAATCAAAATGATTTTTTTTAAACCGAATATAAGAATAATCGAGTAAACTCTTCTTTTTTGAAATTATAAAACTAATTTTCTTTAAAAATTTAAATTCCTAATATTATGTGCTATTTAGGCTAATGTTTAATAGGTATGGGATGTTAAGATAAACAAATAAGAATTTTAAATGTACAAACACAAGAATTGAATTCATTCAAAAATTAATTCAATCAAAGAGAAATAACATGTATGGCCCATTTAAAATACGAAAATAATATTTCAAAGAATGACTTTTATTTAGCCGTAGGAAATATAGACTCAGAAATAAAAATTTATATTTTCAATTAATTAGAAAAAAAACTTAATTTGCTTCCTTAAAATATATAAGGATTACAATCTCCTGCCTCTAAAATATTGGATATAAGTGAAATTAGTAATTCTCCATTAATTGTTATAGGAGATGAAAAAGGTGAAGTTACAATTTTTGATTATATAAGTACTATATTAATTGGATCATTTAAAGGAATACATAATTCAAAAATAATTTAAATTTTAAGCATAAATGAAATCAATAAAATAATTTCTCTTAGCGAAGAATAAGTACTTTGTGTATATTAATTCGAATAAAAATAAAAGAATTTTGTTTGTACGAAAACATTTAATGTTTCCCATATAAATTCAGGGCTCTATACTATCAAAAATCATCCTACTTTTAGCAATTTAATAATAGGAATTTCTATTAAAGGAAATTTAGTTATTTATGATTTCGAATTAAATGTTATTTTTTAATAAAGTGGGGAAAATGTGTAATTTAAAGATATTGCTGTTTTTGGAAAAAGGATTAATGGTATAATGGTTAGTAGTAGTTTGGATGATGATAAAATTATTATATGGAAATTTTTGTAGGGAAATATGATGTTCTAAACAGGTGACTTTTAAGAAGTTTGCAAATCTTTTAGAAATTTACTTTACGCTGATAATTATTAGAACTTTTTGATTCTTTTAAATGTGGATAATAAAATTATTTAATTATATAATATTGAATACTGACTTTATTTTAAATGGATATTATATAGTTATTATTTTTATTTATTTTTTTGTGATATAAATTATAATAAAAAGCTAACATTTTTAGTACATATATAAATTTAATAAAATAATACTTTTTTTCATATTAAATTAAAAAAATTAAAGACAAAATTATAAAAAATATAATTTATATAGATTTTTAGAATCATATACTTATTAATTCAAATATTATAATGGAGCTAATTAGTATAATAAATCCAATAAATTAATATATTTTTGATTTCTTATGAAAATATCTAACTTATTTATTCATCATAAGCTTCAAATATATTAAGAATTTTAATATTTTCAATATCAATTTAATCATTATCGAAAATATTAAGCAAAATAGCACTTTTATAATTAGTTTAATACTCATCTTTTATAGGTACAAACACTGAAAAACAATTGTCTTTATCTTTTTAAGTTACATTAGTTAAAGGATAAAGTAATTTCAAATCTTCTATAAAAAGTGAATTAAAGCATCTTATATCTTGTATTAATTGTTATATTTATTTTAAGCTATATCCATTTATTTCAATAGACTAAAAAATATTATAGTAATAAAAAAATATAGAATATATATAAATTTTACTTTTAAATATTAGACACTACAATTATTTAAAAGCAAATCAATATCAGACTAAGGTATTTTATCTTTTTATTATAAAATATTATCAAAATTTTCTTATGAAATATAGATCTTCTTTACTTTCGGAATAGTTTATTTAAAAAAATCTTCTATATAATTTTATATTATATTAATATTTTCCTAAAGTTATTATTCTTTTTATTATTTGACTTTAAAAATTAGAATATGGTATAAAACATATATTGTTTCATTATTATTGCTTTTCTATTTTTTTTTTAATAAAAATAAAAATAAAAACATAAAATTACAGATTAAATGGATTATATATTAATTTCTTAAACAGGAATATTTTAAAATTCAGCTATTTCATAATCATTTATATAAAACTAAAAAAAAACTTGAATATCTTCAGGATTTTCAACCAAATTTTGAATTATATTTTAATCTAAATTTATATACATACAATTCTAATCTTTTTGCAGTTTTTAAAAGTTATAATAATTATAATTTTTCTATATATAATCGTAAAATTTTTAAATTTTGAAATTAGTTTTGAAAAAACCCATTTTTATTTATAATATTTTAGATTTTAAAATTTTATCCTCGACAATTTTTTTTTATTAAACGAAATAATTAGAAATAGGATTCAAAGTTTAAATAATATCAATATAAGGAAATATTTTTTAATTTTAATCATTATTAATAAAATTTTCAATTAATTATAAATGGGATAAATATACTTTATTAACTATATTAAATTTATTCTAAAAAAACTCTATTTCTACTTTTTAAATATTCTCGAAATTTTCATTATCATTCCAAGTCCAATAATAAATAGTTTCATTTATTTCTTAAGAAAAATATTAAATGTCAACTACGAATAATGTTTTTGATGTTTATTTTCGAAATATTATTTGATGAGTATTTTTCTCTTTATAAAAATACTAAGTTAAATTGCTATATTTTTTCTATTACAAGTACTTTTTTATTAAAAAAAAACTAATTATAGTAATATTTTTTTATACTTTTAATTATATATCTTATTGATATATGTTTTTCGAATAAATACTTTCAGTTTTTTATTTTAATTTTAATCCTTCTTCATTATGAATTGCTTAATAACTAATTAAATTATCACTTGATTAATCCTAAATATAAATTATATATTTTATGTTTTTTTTTATTTTTTTAAATACTAAAAAACTAAATTCTTTCTATTAATCATTAATGATAACATATTTTCCTTCGTTCAGTATGGTATTGCATTAATTTTTGAATATTTCATAAAAAAAATCATTTGTCATTTTTATTTATTTTGCTTCTTCTTTTTCCATTATATCAACATGATCTCCAAAAGCCTCAGAAGAGTCGAATTCTTTTAAATTAAAGCTAATGATACCCTATAAAACAATTATTATAGGGCAAACATATTCTGCTTAAACACACGCATGTTTTTTAAACTTTTTTTTTTTTAAACAAAATAAAAATAAATATATTATTTTATACTTTTAGCATTAGATTATCTATTCTTTTCTAATTCGAAACTTTGGCTTTACACATATGATCAAAAAAGGCTTTATTATAATGATTAATATAAAAATCTTTTACAATATCTAAAAAAGATGTTCCATGTAAAACTAAAGGATCAAGTTAAGTATTTGTATTCAATTTTTTATTTTAATAGCTTTTTGTGAATTTAGGTTTTATTATTTTGAATGAAACTTTAACATAATCTCTATATTAAGCATCGAATTTTTAAATAATATTTTCCACATCCTTAGCTGGATAAACATTTTGGATCATACATGAAATAAATTAAGTCAATTAAACTTATTCTTTTTATTATTCCATTCTAAGAATTTGGTTTCTTCCTAAAAAGTATTTTTTCTATATTTATTATTATTAATCTCGTTTGTTCTTTTCATCAGAAGTCATTATCTTAAAAAAAATATAAGTAAAATTTATAATTAGTTAAAAAATTATATACTTTATTAATATCATCAATAAATTAATATTTTCTTTTAAATTATTTAATTTGCATAGGTTTATATGCTATTAAATGAGTATAAATTCCTAATTTTTATAATTCAATGTGCTTTAAAATATGAATTCTTTAATAAGACCATTTCATATATTAGTTAATTTATTCTCTCACATTCCTTACAATATTCCAATTTACATTATAAAAATACGTATCGATTATGTTTTTAGAAATAGAAATTTTCGCATAATAACTTCTCTTAGTGTATAAGTTCATAGGCATTTAAATTTTATCAAGGCTTAAATTGTTTGCATATTTTATTCCTTGAACTTGTTTAACTTTTTCTAATAATTTTAAGTCCGTTTTATAATTAGAATATTAATTATACTAATATTTATATTATAAAAATATATATATATAAAATATTTATGCTTACTCCTTAAAATTATAAATTTTCACATATTATATATGAAATAGACACATTCTTTTAGCAAACGTCAACCGGTGATTTATAATTAGCTTAGAAAAATACACACATAGATTCAAAACTAAAGAAAAAGTGTGTATGTCCTTACACATCACTTATCACATAAATAAAAGGAATTTTTAGCTCCTCCTTATCTTTACAACAATAATTTATTTATTTTTCTAATTATTAACTACAATAATTTAAGTACTCAGGCCATATTAAATGATGAGATTTATGTTCAAATGTATATTATTGCATAAAACAGCTCCTATTATTCAATCTTGAGAATAATTTTTCAGCGATTTAAGATTGCTTGAAAAAATTCTCTATTTAATAAAAATTCTTTGGACCACTTTTTTCAAAATCTATATTTGTTATAAGTATTCTTTATAAAATTGTTTCGAACAAATAATCTAGAGAAACCTAATTTAAAAGATCGGTTAAATATATTATCAGCTTATCTTCTTCTAATTATCCCTTTATTTTAATTAAATAAAATATATTTGATAATTTTATATGAAAATAAATAAATAAATTTATATTTTTTACCTAATTTCTAATTTATAGATCCAAATAATATTTTGTTTATAGATTATTTTAGCTATTTTTAAATTCCTAAATTAATTTAAAAAATAAATAAAATAAAAAAAAAATATTACTTATTTTTAAGATTTATCTGCAGTATTTAAATTATTATTATTATTATTATTATTATTATTATTATTATTATTATTATTATTATTATTATCATTATAATTTGATATAGAAAGTAATTTAAAATTTTCAATTTATTAATTATTCTATAGGATTTCAATAATTTACGTGCTTAAGTCATTCCAATCTTTTTCAGTATAACCACAACCTAAAGAAATGTTTTAAATTTAATTAATTTCATGAGCTTGATGTGTTTAAGCCTATTTTAAACTAATAATTGGGTAAAAATGATTTACTTCTTATATTTCATTATTATTTTCTTATTTAAATATTTGCAGATTAAGTGTAAATAAACACACTCCGAATATTTCTTTTAAATTTTAATCCAACTAATTAAATAAAAAACAATAATCATTTTTGTCAAAAGGAGTTTCAATTATTTACATTTAGCCATAATTTTGAGATTAAAAAACATTATTATTTAAAATTGAAAATTAATTAACTTCATTTTTTTAATCTTATAAAGCTTTTATGAAAATAAAGTTAATATATATATATATATATATATATATATATATATATATATATATATATATATATATATTACTTTATCGATTTTATTAAACAGGCGCATTACTTTATTCATTATATTTAAGCATTAATTTTTATAAACTTTGTTAAAAATAATACATATAAGGACTATGATCAACAATAAATTAGGGATACTAAAATCTTAAAATCTAAAATAAAATGCATTTTTATATAAATATTAAGTTTTTAATAAATAACCTTATTATATTTTGTAAATTAAAGCAGATTTAAATCGCTTTTTGATAAAACATTATTGTTTCCTTTTATTAATTTACTACAAATTTATTAACTTATTTCTGGTATTTAAGATTATATTACTTATTAAACAATATTTTCTTCGTGTACTTTATATGAACAACTATCTTTGTTCATTCCATAAATATCTAACTTTAATAATCTTTTTGCATTAATATAATCCTCAATTCCTAAAAAAAAAATATATACTTTTGAAAAAAAATATAAATAATAAAATTACTAAAATAATTTAATAAAACATCTCTCAATTTATTATAAAAGGCCTATTTAAGTTCTTCAAAATTGCCCTAATTAATGCATGATTTTGCATTTTTAGAACTCATATATAGCTCATTCTCTTATTCATCTTTAATAAAATTTTAATTTAAATCAGTATAACTTTT